AAGTGTTCTATGCTAATGATAATTCCAACAAAGGTTGGCAAGTCGTGATGAAGACTCAACCTCGTGATTCCTTTGAGATTGTGGAACAAATGGATGATGATATTGTAGAGTTAGGAAGTCCTTCAAAAAGAAACGAAAAAGAACTAATGAGGTGAAGTATATTTATTGTTACACATTATTGAAATTGGTATATTTATAGTATATTTATCGTGATTCCTTTGAAATTGTTGAACAAATGGATGATGATATATTTTTTACTTTTGGATGTTTTTGTAGGTTCAAGATGAAACCAATCAAGACTGAAAGTGAGGATAGTTCAACTACGAAGAGTACTATGAGATATACTTTTGTTGCGCCTGGTGCTATTGGAAAAGGACGAGGATGAGGACAAGGACTTAAATCCTTGGGTGAGAAAGGGAGTATGCCAACAAAGAAGTTATTTTCTCAATCTAATGATCTTGTTAACCATTACATCCAAGAGATTGAAACAAGTAAGATATATTTATTTTCTTGGTTAAATGAAAAAGTGTATTCTACCAGCAATCGTTATATACAAATTTGCTACTTGGACTTCCCTAGCATGTGAATTAACCTATTGTCTGTTCTCTTCTCTATTATTCTCTATTTTTTTTTCTGTTTCAGAATCTAATCTTCTCTGTGAGTTCTTGTCATTATTCAGCAGCTTCTCATGTTTCAAAACACTTTGTTAAGGATTAATAACATGATATATTTTCTATATGTTCTATAGGGAAGACTCGAGGACAAGGACCAAAAATTTCTACCATGTCTGCTAGTCTAGGAATGGAAACGATGCATAAGAATGCCCTGACTCTTGAGAAAGAGAACATGAAAAGTAGCATTCCATCTCCTGCATGTACTAATCAAGTTAAGCAATACACCCAAGAAGTTAAAACAAGTAAGTTTGTTTTCAGATTTGTTATGTTTTCTTTTTAAAAAACAATGTTAATTTGATGAACTGTTATATTACATTTCTCAGGTCCAAAAATGAAAATTGCAGAATAATGGCATTTTGGGGTTTATTTTCAACTTAAGTCGCGATTGTCACGCCACAGCTGCCTCGCCCTGGTGGAAATAATCCCTCCACAGTGGCCTACACAGAAACAGAGAGTCGAAATTAGAGTTTGAAACCCCCATTTCACAATACACCTTCAATCCATGACACTCAGAAACTACGCATTCACACTAAGATCAGTTTCGGGAGTTCTACTGCCCGAATTAATTATATATAGCCGTACGGGTTCCTTAACTCCTTAGCTATATACTCATGCGATCAAATTCATAATTAGATCTCTCACTTATTACTAGATCTCCCTGGACCTCACTGACTCCGATTTTGTCCAAATCTGGACTAGGCTAGGAATTCTCAAGTTACTACCAAACAGTTTTCCGGCCCAAAAATTTTCCTCGATGGCTTTGCTTTAACGACGGGAATAGGTCGTTACAATAGATACCAATTTACCCATCACTCAGTCGTGAGTGAAAAACTAGGAAAAATGGCTAAATTAATATTGGGGTCGTACCTGAATCGTCGAACAAATAGGGGTATTTGTCTCGCATGTCCTTCTCAGTTTCCCAAGTAGCTTACTCAACTAGAAGATGCTTCCATTGAACTTTCACGGACTTAATCTCTTTGGTCCTCAGCTTCCGGACATCACGATCAATAATTGCAACCGGTTCCTCCTCATATTGAAGGTCTTTGTCTAATAACATTGAGTCCCATTTTATAATGTAATCTCCATCCCCATGGTACTTCTTCAACATGGATACATGAAACACTAGATGAACTCCAGATAAGCTAGGTGGTAAGGCCAATCTATAAGTCAATGGCCCTACACAGTCAATAATTTCAAATGGACCAATGTATCGAGAACTAAGCTTGCCCTTCTTGCCAAATCTCCTCAAAGAATGTGGCCCTTACCTCAATGCTAGATAATACTCCACCTTTCTCTGAGACACCCAACTGCATGAAATTAGTTTCAAGGTTTGAATTTCCTTAGCCAAAGGTCACTTGGATACACTCAAGCAAGCTAGACTACCCATACTCACCGCTTTCTGGCTTAGTGCGTCTGCCACTACATTAGCCTTACCCAGATGGTATTGGATGGTAACATCATAATCCTTAAGTAACTCTATCCGCCTTCGTTGTCTCAGATTTAGATCTTTTCGAGTCAATACATGTTGTAGACTACGATGATCAGTAAACACCTCACACTTGACACCATAGAGGTAATACCGCCAAAATCTTAAGAGCAAACACTACCGCTGCGAACTCTAAATCATGTGTTGGGTAATTTCTCGCATGCACCTTCAACTACCGCAATGCATAAGCTATAACATTCTTATTCTGCATTAACACAGCACTCAAACCCGAATGTGAAGCATCACAATAAACAATAAAATCCTTACATTCCACTGGTTATGCTAGAATAGGTGTTGTTGTCAAAAGGGTCTTGAGCTTTTGAAAGCTCTCCTCACATTTTTCGGTACATTTGAAAGGTACCTCCTTTTGGTCAACCTTGTCTGATGTGTGGCAATAGAAGCAAAGTTCTTCACAAATCGACGATTGTAGCTAGCGAGCCCCACAAAAATCCTAACCTCAGTCACAAAGCTAGGCCGAACCCAATTCATGACAACTTCAATCTTTTGGGGATCTAACATTACCTATTCCCTTGAAACTACATGCCCCAAAAAGGCAAATGAATCCAACCAAAACTCACACTTAGAAAATTTAATGTACAACTTTGGTATCCCAAGAACACCCAGAACAGTACGAAGATGGTCGGCATTCTCTTCCTTACTCTTTGACTAAACCAGAATATCATCAATAAAACCTATAACAAAAGAATCCAGAAATGGTTTGAATACATTATTGATCAAACTCATGAAAGCAACAGGCGCATTTGTCAATCCAAACGACATTACTAGGAACTCATAGTGCCCAAAACATGTCCTAAATGTCATCTTATGTACATCCTCAAGCCTAAACTTTAACTGATGGTACCCAGACCTTAGATCAATCTTAGATAAAACGGATGCACCTTGCAACAATTCAAAAAGATCATCTATTCGAGGCAATGGGTACTTGTTTCAAATGGTGACCCTATTCAATTGCCAATAATCTATAAACATCCTCATACTACCATCCTTTTTTTTTAACAAACAAGACAATAGCACCCCACGGGAAAGCACTAGGATGGATAAAACCTTTATCAAGAAATTCTTGGATTTAAGCCTTAAGCTCTCTCAACTCTACCGGGGCCATGCGATAAGGAGGGATGGAAATGGGGCAGGTACCGGGTTCCAAATCAATGCAGAAATCTATATCTCTATCCGAAGGCATACCAGGAAAATCAGTAGGAAACACTTCTCTAAATTCTGACACCACGGGAATAGACTAAATAGAGGGAGACTCAACCTCAACATCCTGAATATGAGCCAAATAAGCCAAACAACCCTACCCCACCAGTTTCCTAGCCTGAATGGACAATATAACCTTAGCTAGCTTAGGCTTGTACACCCCTTCCTACTCTAATATTTCCCTACCGGGGATCTCTAGAGTCACAAACTTAGTGTTACAATTAGCACAACATAATAGGGGGACAACCAAGTCATGCCTAAGATTATATCAAAGTCAGTCATGTCCAAAATAACCAAATCATCCCAAGTCTGAAAACCAATAAACAGGATAGGACAAGCACAATAGACATGGGCGACTATGATAGACTCTACAACTGGGGTAGACACATGGGTTGGGGCATAAGTACATTACAAATCATATCAAATCCCAAGGCAAACTGAATGGACACATAAGAAATAAGTAGAACCGGGATCAAATTACACATTAGCCATCCGGTCACAAACAAGAATAGTACATGTGATCACTGCATCAAAAGTGTCACACCCCAAACTCAAAGGCCGCAACTGGCTCCTAATGCCCAAACTCAGCCCGAGCCGACCCTGCTAAACCATTTGCTACTAGCACATGGCAGACACGCGTAATAAAGAAAACAAACTAGTATATCTCGTATTAAAACTAAGCCCTCGTCCAGTAAGGCCCTTGTCAACATATATATAAAATAAACAGCTACTCCCAAGAGCTCATATAAAGAAATAACCAACTAGCATAGAAGTCCTGACTGGGTCGTCGAGGCTACCATGATATCTATACAAAAACTGGAAGCAGGTATATATAAAGACAATACATTAAATAGCTCACAAGCTTCAGCAAACCAACAAAACTAGGACAGCATGGCCATAACCTAGTTGTACACCCCACACACTAGTTTGCAAGCCTCAAAGAGTAGTAAAGATTGGCGGGACAAGACCCAACCTACCCATCAAAATATACACAACAAAAGCTAACAAACCTCTAAACTCTGGCAGCTCCGGAGGATAGGGGCTAGCCAACCGGATAGAAGTCAATCCTGCTACTGAGAAGGTCTACTCGGACAGACATGCATGCATGAATGCAGCGCCCCCAGGCAATGGGGCGTCAGTACAAAATAATGTACAGAGTAAGAAAGGTTGTAAACTAAATGAGCAAGTATAATAATATACCAAAAGCAATCAGGTAAGGAAATCAAATTTAGATAAGCATGCCAACCCACTACTGAATTTGATAAAATACAATAATGATCAAACATCAACCAAACCAAGCCCCCATAAGCCCAGTAGGTACAAATATCATACCACCTACTTAGGCCCCTATAAGCCCAAAAGGTGCCAAATCAATCTACATAACCTTATCGGTAGCCCCTTGTCTTTGTAAGAAGTCACATAGCCCTTTTTTGGTAATAATATAGCGCCGTAGGTAGCGCATAGCCCTCTTAGGCAACATCATAGCTCTGTGGGCTGCACGTAGCCTTATTTTGCATCACAAAGTCCTGTAGGCAATACATAGCCCTCTTTGGCATCAAAATATCCCAGTAGGCAACACATAACACTCTTTGGCATCAATATAGCCCTGTGGGCAACACATAGCCTCTTTGGAAATAACGTAGTCCTATTAGACAACATCATAGCCCCCATAGGCAGTTCATAGCTCAACAGCTAACCACAATTGCCAAAAAGGTGACAACCAACAATTAAATAGGCTGAAGGCGAGCAATTTAGCTATAAACAATATATATGAATAATATCCAAGTCCATCCTAACTTAGGGTTGTTCTGAACAGATTATGAGTCCCTAAAATGACGGTTTATAACCACTTAATCAACCAACCACTCACAATTACATCTACAACATAACTAACATTAACTTCCCTATTATATCACTCCCAAGTTCAAAGGAAACATGCCGAACGAAGGGAGTAGCCATAATACACCATTTCCTTTATAATTTATGCTGAAAATACCTCTGACCACACCACTACAACACTAAAGAAAAAGGTAAAATCAATCACTAATTAAGGATAAAAAATACTATGACAATTTGACAATCGATACGAATCCCTATCGTAAACTACAATACAAGACCCAAGGTATCCGTTAACTAATAAAAGGTGATTCCTACCTTTCTTTAAATGACCAGAACACTTGAATACAATCGCTCCACTGAAAACAAACCCTGCTACCACAACCTCCACGAAGATACACCGCTCAATTCACTGTGAAAATTATACCAAAATGACGAGCTCGCGACGTAAGGCAATTTTCGATAAGAGGCCAAGAAGAGATCATGAACACACAAGGATGATTTGAGGAGTATTTCTCAGTTTGTCGTGGGTTTCTCACGATTTGAATGAAGAAAAATGAAGAAGATGCTATATTATAAGCTTCCACCGACTTAGGAGACCCATCTCACGTACCAGCTTGTGCAATCTCGCAAAAATGCAAATATCTCTCTATTTTGAAGTCGTATGAACAAACCGTTTGATGCGTTGGAAACTAGACTCCTAGACCTTCTATTTAATGGGTCGTGGGACCCATAACTCGTCATATATTGGAAGAAAACTTCCGAAACATTTGACCCAAATTTCAGAAAAATCTTTAAAAATGAACTTA